AACGAACACAACCACAGGAAACTTATAAGGCACATAATCAAGACCAAACGGACACAGGTGTAACAGACAGACCAAACCAAACGAACATCGAAACATTCAACGGTGGCAGCTAGTACTCCGGGGACGACGAACGCCGAAGCCTGCCCGAACAAGGAGGAGGAGCAGCCTCGGCAGATTCCGTGACAGGTCAGATGAAACCAAAATATAACTTTTTGGTAAAAACTCAACTTGTTGTGTTTGGAGGACAAAGAATGCTGAGTTGCATCCAAAGAACACCATACCTACTGTGAAGCATGGGGTTGGAAACATCATGCTTTGGGGCTGTTTTTCTGCAAAGGGACCAGGACGACTGATCCGTGTAAAGGAAAGAATGAATGGGGCCATGTATCGTGAGATTTTGAGTGAAAACCTCCTTCCATCAGCAAGGGCATTGAAGATGAAACATGGCTGGGTCTTTCAGCATGACAATGATCCCAAACACACCGCCCGGGCAACGAACGAGTGGCTTCGTAAGAAGCATTTCAAGGTCCTGGAGTGGCCTAGCCAGTCTCCAGATCTCAACCCCATAGAACATCTTTGGAGGGAGTTGAAAGTCTGTGTTGCCCAGCGACAGCCCCAAAACATCACTGCTCTAGAGGAGATCTGCATGGAGGAATGGGCCAAAATACCAGCAACAGTGTGTGAAAACCTTGTGAAGACTTACAGAAAACGTTTGACCTGTGTCATTGCCAACAAAGGGTATATAACAAAGTATTGAGAAACTTTTGTTATTGACCAAATACTTATTTTTCACCATAATTTGCAAATAAATTCATTAAAAATCCTACAATGTGATTTTCTGGATTTTTTTCTCATTTTGTCTGTCACAGTTGACGTGTACCTATGATGAAAATTACAGGCCTCTCTCATCTTTTTAAGTGGGAGAACTTGCACAATTGGTGGCTGACTAAATACTTTTTTTCCCCACTGTATCTGGTGTTGTTTTTTTTGCAGAGACATAAATTGCATTAATTTGTTTTTGCAGAGACATCTGATGACATATTGTGGTGCGTGATGGGATGAACATGAATTTTTCCGGTCCATCAATGTTGCAGTCATGACGCAAGTAGCGCTATGCTGTCAAATCCTCCCACATGTTTCTAGTTTGACCAGCTGTTTGGCATGTTTTGCATATTTGCCAGCAACAAACTATTTAGCTAGATTCTAGACTAATGCTTAATATGCAACACTGAACCATGCATGAGAGCACGAGCTGTTCCAGACGCCTGTTTGATCTCACTCTCTGTAGCAGGTTAACATTCACAAGTCTGCGGGCCAGATGGATTACGAGGACATGTCCTCAGAGCATGCACTGACCAGCTGGCAAGTGTCTTTACTGACATTTTCAACCTCTCCCTGACCCAGTCTGTAATACCTACATGTTTCAAGCAACCACCATAGTCCCCCTGCCCAAGAATGCCAAGGTAACCTGTCTAAATGACTATCGCCCCGTAGAACTCACATCTGTAACCATGAAATGCTTTGAAAGGCTGGTCATGGCTCACATTAACACCATCATCCCAGACACCTTGGACCCACTCCAATTCGCATACCGCCCCAACATATCCACAGATGACGCAATCTCTATTGCACTCCACACTGTTTTCTCCCACCTGGACAAGAGGAACACCTATGTGAGAATGCTGTTCATTGACTACAGCTCAGTGTTCAACACCATAGTGCCCTCCAAGCTCATCGCTAAGCTCAGGACCCTGCACTGAACACCTTCCTCTGCAACTGGATCCTGGACTTCCTAATGGGCTGCCCCCAGGAGCTAAGGGTAGGCAACAACACATCCACCACACTGAACCTCCTCATGGGGGCCCCTCAGGGGTGCGTGTTTAGTCAACTCCTGTACTCCCTGTTCACCCACGACTGCGTGGCCGCGCACGACTCCAACACCATAATTAAGTTTGACGATGAGAAAGCCTATAGGCACCACACTGCCAGGACAACAACCTCTCCCTCAATGACAGCAAGACAAAGGAGCTGATCGTGAACTACAGGAAATGGAGGGCTGAGCATGACCCCATCCACATCAACAGGGCTGTAGTACAGCGGGTCAATAGCTTCAAGTTCCTCGGTGTCCATATCACTAAGGAATTAACATGGTTCACACAGAGCAACACTGTTGTGAAGAAGGTACGACAAAGCCTCTTCCCCCTCAGGAGGCTGAAAAGATTTGTTATGTGCCCTCAGATTCTCTAAAAGTTCTACAGCTGCACCATTGAGAGCATCTTGACTGGCTTGGCATCCGACGCAAGGCGCTACAGAGGGTAGCGCGTAAGGCCCAGTACATCACTGGGGCCGAGCTGCCTGCCATCCAGGACCTCTATACCAGGCGGTTTCAGACAAAGGCCCTAAACACTTTCTGAGATTCCAGCCACGCAAGTCATAGACTGTTCTCTCTGCTCCCGCACGGCAAGCGGTACCGATGCATGTCTGGAACCAACAGGACCCTGAACAGCTTCTATCCCCAAGCCAAAAGACTAGTAAATACTTAACCAAATAAAAACCTGAATGATCTGCATTGACCCCCTTTTGATGTTATTCTGGCTGCAGAGGTTGACGTGACTGTGTTAGCCTTAGTTGGCTAGCTAGCGAGCAAGGAATAAGAACGTTGCCAGATAGCATGGCAACCGAATAAAAAGATCAAACGACTGGGTCACATCAATAGATATAGAACAGAAAGAATGAACAATTGGGTCGCGTCTTTGGCAACAGACTAACAATCAAGTTGGTTGCAATTTCAATTTAATCCTCCGGAAATGACAGAACAAATATTGCAACAAATATACTAATTGATAAAAAATATGTTCTTTTTTGAGAATAAAAAATAAAATAAAAGGTATAATCTTCGTAAATGATATTGTCGGTGGGAATAGTGGAGTTATGTCGCACATGCAGCTAACAAAAACATATAGAAATGTCTGCTCTACCCAAAATTACAACCAAATAATTGCAGCATTACCGCAAAAATGGAAGAGGAAAGTGGAAGGAGGAAAATGTGAGGAACTTGTCTGTCGGCCTTGCATTAAAGAACATAACTGGTTAAAGAAAATTGTGATAAATAAAAAATGTTTACCAGTTTCATTTAAGGACCAAAAGATTCACAGCCGTCCCATATAGATTGCAAAATAGTTGGGAAGAGATTTTTGACTGATGGACATCATGAAATGATGAAGAATCTCAAATATAAAATATATTTTGATTTGTTTAACACTTTTTTGGTTACTACATGATTCCATATGTGTTATTTCATAGTTTTGATGTCTTCATTATTAAAATAAAGAAAAACCCTGGAATGAGTAGGTGTGTCCAAACCTTTGACTGGTACTGTATATATCAATAAAACATGTAATTAAACAATAAAAGAAACCAAAAAAAGTCTGTTTGAATGACGCTGAGGGGCAACGCTGTTACATCCAATGCCTGTTTGCCCGAGGCTGATGCCGCGCAAGTGCTTGTACGCGTGTACACATGCATATACACACACTCGCATTCAAACACACACGTGCACACACACAGACACACACATACTGTACATACACACATGTACATAGTGCCACACATGCACTCAAACGTATACGGTTGTTTTGATTTGTGTTGTCCTTGATGTCTTTTGTTTTTGCGTTGTTGTTTTCCTTTTTTTCTATTTTTTTCCCTATTTTTTTCATTTTGTTGGTTATTGATGCATTGGGGGGGGGAGGGCTCGGATGGTTGAGGGGCAGCTCTCGGGGAACTGTGGGGGATCTTGGATGGTTAGTGGCCTGGCGGTTGGGAGTTTGGCCGGTGAACGATAGGTCGCTGGTTCGGGTCCCCATTTTGACTTGGTGTGAGATCTGTCGACGTGCCCTTTGGCAGGGTACTTGACCCTGGCTGCTCATGTGGGTTGCTTTGGATAGGAGTCTGTTAGATGAATGAATGTAATGTAAAATGTTGAGCGGCTTCACTGCAGGTGGATTGTGTGTTTTAATATTAAATAATACAAAAATTATAATACAATTAATCAAACATAATTTCTACTGGTAAATGTGTGCTTTAGTATTGTTTTGTTTGACAACTGTGGTATAAGCGGGATAAATGCCTCCGTTCTGTACATTACCTTGGAAAAATGTAACCACACTCGGCTCCGCCTCATCCCGCTGCGTCGTCCATTATTTCCAAGTTAATGTACAGAACGTCAGTGTTTATCCTTTACATAAATGATGGATTATGCTCAAAGGGGAGCATTTTGCTGTGAATGGAAAGATGAGTAAAGTATACACTACCAGTCAAAAGTTTGGACACACCTACTCATTCAAGGGTTTTTCTATATTTTTACTATTTTTTACATTGTAGAATAATAGTGAAGATATCAAAATTATGAAATAACACATATGGAATCATGTAGTAGCCAAAAAAGTGTTAAACAAATCAAACTATATTTTCAAATAGCCACCCATTGCCTTGATGACAGCTTTGCACACTCATGGCATTCTCTCAAGTAGGTGTGTCCAAACTTTTGACTGGTACTGTATGTCCCACTTCTACAGTAAAAAACAACAACAGACAAAACGTGAAAACCTGATATGGTTAATTCCCAGTTGGGAGGATGTGCATGTCAATCCGAAACTTTCCGAAATGTAGTAATTTACATTATAATATGTTGATTGTAAAATCTATGTCAATTGCTAGATTATATAATCATCTGCTTCAAATTCCCCAAGTCCTCATCTAACCTCTTGTGATCTTCCAGGCAAATAGATACAAACACTCCCCACTTTACATGCTCAGTGGAGGGTTGATACAGTCAGTTTGACATAGAACAACAAGGCCATGAGCTGCCTACAAAAACATGTCTCTGTTGACACTGCAGATGTAAAATAAGTTAACTCAAATTTTATCAAGACAAAGGTTGGGCTGTTGGGATGATAAATTGACATATCTGTCATTCATTCACTGATTGATTTGTTCAATAGAGATCTCAAGAAAACAGCTGTTCTGAAGATGCTATAGTGCTGAACATTGTCTTTTCCCTTTGTCTGCTATGTCCTCAGATTGGGCAGTTGGCGAGACTTCAACAGCCTCTGAACGCCCTCCTGATTTCCATGGTGTTATTTTGTTTTATCCACCAAACAACAATAATGCTCTTTGTTTGTGAGGTTATCATCCATTCAATGGCCGAACTGGATAAGGCCCTTCATCAAATCTATAACTTCACCAGTGTTGTGAATCTGTCTTCAGTGACCTGGCTCAGCATCCTCTTCTACGTCAACATCGTGCCCAAAAAGCACTCTACAGCTTTTTGTCTGGTTGAAGAGACATATCAAGAACGTGGTGTACATCAGTCTCGTTGTGGACAGGATTGTTCTTCTTGTGGCAGAGTTAGTTGTCTATACTTGGCACCTTACAGAAGATCAGCACATTGAAGAAGATCAACACTTTAATTCATCATCCTACTTCAGCATCACTACAGAATTAGGCATCAACAAGGATGTATTTTTCAATCTGGAGAAAGCTTGCTTGACAATGTATGGCATTCTCTTAATCATCTACTTTGGGACTATGATTCTGTCTTGGAGCAGCACCTACATTTACCTGCGAAGGCACATGAAGAGGATGGAGGAGAGCAGTGGCCCTTTCTCCCAGCCCCAGCTACAGAGCCAGATGAGGGTCACTGTTACAGGTTTAGTTCAGGCTGTTCTGTATTTCCCCTGCTGTTTATGGACAATTAGTGTGATGTTTCTTGTCAGTCTGGCAATTTATGAGGACTTTGATCCCCATGGTTTCATCCAGGTCACAGTTTCCTCTCTGGTTGCCCTATACAGCTCGGTGTGTCTGGGGTTCTCCCAAACTGTCTTCAGACAGAGGGTGGTGTCTCTCTTCAAGGGAGTTTTCAATCAATGTAATGAGAGAGTTTTCTAGCGTAATGGGTAAGTGTTCTCTGTGTTCAACATATTTATTTTATTTTAGTAAGAAATCCTTGTTGGGCCGTATTGTATGTTTGACACTTGTGAACTAGAGTGTAGTAGTTGTCCAGTAAATACTAATGCTAGGCCAATTGTTTTTAACTTAGCGGATAATTCTATTGGAGTAGCTACATGCCTTCTCTTTAGCTAGCTACATAGATCTGCTGTGTTCTAGTGATACAGTGGGGAGAACAAGTATTTGATACACTGCCGATTTTGCAGGTTTTCCTACTTACAAAGCATGTAGATGTCCCCAAATAATTATTTTTAATTTTTATTTATTTTCTGAAATTTTTATCATATGTACACTTCAACTGTGAGAGACGGAATCTAAAACAAAAATCCAGAAAATCACATTGTATGATTTTTAACTTTTAATTTGCATTTTATTGCATGACATAAGTATTTGATACATCAGAAAAGCAGAACTTAATATTTGGTACAGAAACCTTTGTTTGCAATTACAGAGATCATACATTTCCTGTAGGTCTTGACCAGGTTTGCACACACTGCAGCAGGGATTTTGGCCCACTCCTCCATACAGACCTTCTCCAGATCCTTCAGGTTTCGGGGCTGTCGCTGGGCAATACGGACTTTCAGCTCCCTCCAAAGATGTTCTATTGGGTTCAGGTCTGGAGACTGGCTAGGCCATATATTTATGGTGGTGTTTCATTTTTATCCACCAAACAACAATGTTCTTTGTTTGTCATTTTGCCCTCAGTCCTTTTGTTTATGGACTTTATTTGACCCTGAAGCACTCTACTTCACCAATGTGGTGTCACACCCTGGCTATGGGACTCTAGTTGTTGAGCCAGGGTGTGTTTGTTCTATGTGGTGTGTTTCTATGTTGGGGGTTCTAGTTCGTCTATTTCTATGTTTTGCCTGAGTGACTCCCAATCAGAGGCAACGAGTGTCAGCTGTTGGCTGGTTGTCTCTGATTGGGAGCCATATTTAAACTGTCTGTTTTCCCTTTGTGTTTGTGGGTTTTTGTTCCGTGTTCGGTCATTGTTACCGTTGGACGTCACGAGTCGTTTCTTGTTTTGTTTATGGTAGATTATCACTAAAGATAATAAAGTTCACCATGTTCGTTCAACACGCTGCGCATTGGTCTCTCCCTGACGATCGTGACATGTGGTCAACCTGTCTTCAGTGACCTGGCTCAGCATCCTCTACTACATCAACATTGTGCCCAACAATGGACAGCTTTTCGTCTGGATAAAGAGACATCAATAACGTGGTGTACTTTGGTCTTGTTGCGGACAGGGCCATTGTTCTAATTGCAGGGGTATTTGGACTACGTGTCTATACTCGGCCCAGAAGAACATCCCTTGAATTCATCCTCCTCTTTCAATGCCACTACAGAATTAGGCAGCGATAGGGATATTGTTTTAATCTGGGGAAAATATGCGCCACAATATATACCTTCCATCTACTAGTATCTTCTTGGACTATGGTTCTGTCTTGGAGCAGCATCTACATCTACTTGCGAAAGAAAATGAAGAGGATGGAGGAGAGCAGTGGCCCTTTTCTCGCAGCTCCAGCTACAGAGCCAGTTGAGGGTCACTGTTACAGGTTCAGTCCAGGCAGTGCTGTTTTTCCACCATGGTCTGTTAATAATTACTCTGGTATTTACAGTATGCCTGGTTATGATAACGTTGATCCCAATGATAACATCCAGACCACAGCATCTCTGTTTGGCCTATGAAGCTCTGTGTACCTGGGGTTCTCTCAATCTGTTTTCAGACAGAGGGTGGTGTGAAATCAAATCAGATCACATTTTTATTCATCACATGCTTCGTAAACAACATGTGTAGACTAATAGTGAAATGCTTACTTATGGGTCCTTTTCCAACAATGCAGTTAAAGATAAAGATAGAAAATATAAAATAGAAATAGTGACACAAGGAATAAATACACAGTGAATAATGAATAACAATAACTGAGTAAATAATAACCTCTGTGTCACACCAGCCTTCGCTTTGGCTCCCCCTCCTGTCCAGCTCAGTCGTTCGGCGTCGCCGGCCTTCTAGCTGCTGCCGAACCTACTGCTGGCAAACGCCCTTCACTCATCAACCCTGGACTTGTCTCGTCATCATTACACACACCTGGTTCCAATCCCCACTCTATCACTGTATGTATACTCCCTCTGCCGTTTGTCTTTGTCGGTCATTGTAAATGTTACTTGTTTTCCTGAGCGGAATCGCGCCTACTATTTCCTGAGTACTTTATATTTTGCACTTTGGGTTCTCCCTGTGACTTTTTGTTTATGAAGATATATTTTGAGGTCAACAGCGTTTGGGTTTCGTCCCGCTTTGATCTATGGTGCTTAAGTAAATTCAGTAGTTCTAAACCTGCGACTGCCTCCTGCCTACTCCTCTCTACACCATTGACACTCTCCATATACAGGGAGTACCAGTAACGAGTCGATGTGCAGGGTTACGAGGTTGAGGTAGCTCTGTAGATATAGGTAGGGGTAAAGTGATTAGGCAACATGATAGATAATAGACTGAGCTGTAGCAGCAGCGTATGTGGAACAGTAGCAGAAGCGTATGTGGTGTGTGTGCGTGTGGCGTCAGTATGCATGTGTGCACATGTTATGTGTGTGTGAGCATATGTAGTGTGTGTGTGTGTGTGTGTTGGGGTGTCAGTGTAAGTATGTGTCAGTGTGCATAGTCGGTGCAAGAGAGTTAGTTCAAAAAAGTGTCAATGCAGGTAGTCCAGGTAGCCATTTTATTAGATATTTAGCAGCCTTGTTTAGCAGTCTTATGGCTTGGGGGTAGAAGATGTTCAGGGTCCTGTTGGTTCCAGACTTTGTGCACTTGTATCGCTTGCTGTGTGGTAGCAGAGAGAACAGTCTATGGCTGGAGTCCTTGACACTTTTTTGGGCCTTCCTCTGACACTGCTTGGCATAGAGGTCCTGGATGGCAGGGAGCTCCGCCCCAGTGATGTACTGGGCCATACTCACCCTCTGTAGCGCCTTGCGGTTGGGTGCATTGCCGTCGCCATACCAAGCAGCAGCAGTGATTTTAGCATGTAAATCTTGGTGGGGCAAAAAAAGAAAATAAGTGGGATGCATGCCAGCAAAGACACAACACTACACAACACAACACTACACAACACTAAACAATACATTAATTGCACCATAACGGTGACAAACGGTGACAACAAACTGTTAGGAGCTACATAAAGCTGTCCCAATAGCAGTCCCAACACCTTACCACTGTTACACCTGGCTATCAGCGGAGCCTTGTCTGGCAGCGAAACAGTTAATTCAGCCTCATTTATTGCTTTTAAATTAACATAGCTGATATGGCTGACTTGACAATTGAGATGTATAAACTATGGCATAAGGGGACGACAAGCGGATAGACAATCCGTAATATCGATTAAGACATTAATGAGTGAGCTACGACGGACGTAGTCAATGTAACTATTTGTTCAGCAGCTTTGAAATGTACAACGACAGAATTCAGAACATGGGCAGTTCTTACAATGTTCTCATTGTACACCAAGTCAGAACCGTAGGATAAATAAAGGGGGCATATAAGCAGACAATGAAAGCTCTTCAATATTTAATGATTACATTTCTCTAAAACAGGTTATAGGCTACCCGTGAACCACCAAGAAAGAACAGTAGGCGAAATTAAGAGGTGAAAATAGACCAAATTATTAGGGTGAGGCACATGGGCTACTAATAGCTTACTACACAACATACACTTAGTATTACTTTCTTAGCTACAGTATACATATATCCCTTGCATATTACATCATTTATGCAGTAGCATACAATACATTATTGGACTCACCTTGTTGTGCTGTGCTCACTTAAACAGGAAGGTGGTGCGGCGGTCCTTCGTGGGCAAATTTTGTCAGCAAACTTTGGCATCAAAGTCTGGCATTCTCAGGATTTATGGTGGGAGCTCTGGAGAAAAAAAAACACACAGCTACTCCACTGAATACCAGGCTAGTGATTGCTTTGCCATGCTTGCAGTTAGCCACTGATTTCTTCCAAACCACTCATTGTTGAATTTGCAATTTCCAACTTGTGTAATGTTTATATCCAATGGCCGATGAGCACCGATACGTTTTATCTATAATTTCTCTTCATTATTTCTCTTCATATGACAAGGATAAAAAAGGATTTCCCAGTAGATTGTCGACTTGATTCATGATAACTGCTAGCTAAGATTTTGAAAGTATGACGTGGACATGATCAGTCCAATCAAAGCTACTGTACATATAATGTGATTTGACGTCATTTTATCTGTGGCCAATGACCTTGAGCTTTCTTGGATGGGCACTTCTAATGTAACTCTATGGCAGCACCCAAGGGGCTTGAATGTCCGAGGTCTACCCTTAGACTTGGCGGTGACGTAGTGTCCCCATGAGTGACAGAACACTGAGCCAATCACAGCGCAACACTCCGTATTTTCTGCTGGCTTGCCCCACCACCACAGAAAGCACTGAGCTAGGCTGAAACACCTGCATTTTGGAGCTGCCTTACTCAAGAAAACAAAATAGAGACCATGTTTGTATGCGGCTTTATTAACTCAATGATATATATATTTTTTACATTGTTTGCAAACTGATATGTGACACGTATTAATGGAAAAATAACATGCAAAACAGGCAAGCCTGTATTATTTATTTATTTATTGCAAAAAATGTAGGGCTCTAAACAGGTGGGGCTGATGCGTCCAATCAATATGCTCTCAATGGTGCAGCTGTATAACCTTTTGAGGATCTGAGGACCCATGCCAAATCTTTTCAGCCTCCTGAGGGGGAAGAGGCGCTGTCGTGCCCTCTTCACAACTGTGTGGGTGTGTGTGGACCATGTTAATTCCTTAGTGATGTGGACACCGAGGAACTTGAAGCGCTCGACCCGCTCCACTACACCCCCATCGCTGTCTCTATTTGAGGGAGTTTTCAAGCAATGTAATAAGGGAATTTTCAAGCGTAATGGGTAACTGTTTTGTGTTCTCGTTTAAGAATGTAATTTCCATTACTTTAAAGGGCTGAATCCCAGACACAGTTTAAGTCTACTACTAGACTAAAAATCATGTTCAATGGAGATTATCTAGGACTACACTTTATCAGTGTCTGGGAAATTGGCACAAAATGTTCATGAATTAACTTTCTTATTAATTATTTGTGGTGGTGGGAGCAAGTCACAGACGATTGTTTGTATTAGCATTAGAACTAGCCTGGACAAATAAGGTATGTTTATTTTACATAAAGCACTTCTGGTGTTTTATTATTGTAGTAAACAATGCAAAACTTTAAGGTAAGTTGAAGTGTAACAGCATGTCTCATTGATGTAATTTGATGTCAGGATTTACATAAACTATAAGAGTTTGTCGTGGTAAATTAGTATGTACATGTAAGTACTGTAAGTTAGCCTAAGGATTCAATTCCATCAGTTTCAGTCATAAAGTTGAAATGTTTGTAGAGAGAAAGAGGAACACAAAGAGACAGAGTGAAAGCAACATATTATTTTTTAGATGGAGCCCCATGTCAATATCGTGTTGAATGGGTCACTATCCATCATCGGTCTTCTAGTGAATGTCTTCTATCGCTTCTGCATGTTGGCACCTGCGAAGGATGCAAAGAGAGTTTTCCGCCAGCCCGTGAAACCTGTATTCTTCTCAGAAGTGGGATACAGTATGGCGCTTCAAATTTCCGAACTCCTAATACTCTGCCGGGAACTCTGTGCGGAATGGTGCAACAACATTCTGAACAACCTAGTGAGACTGACCACACTGGCTTGCATGTCCGCATGTGTGTGTGGCTCAACGTCTTCTACTACATCAAGAGTGTTCCAAACCAGTGACAGCTCTTCATCTAATTGAGGAGGAACATCAAAGCAGTCGTTTACGGTGGCCTTATTGTTGACAAGCTCTACCTTAGTACAAAAGTTATAATTTTTGTAGGATATTAGCATGTCAAATCCACCCACAGCTTAAACAACACTTACTTATTAATCACTCAACATGTGAGAGTGTGGTCTTCTGTGAGCTTTGCATTCCAATGGATCCACATGATTTATCTGTGGTTCTTTATTGTGACGATGGAATACACGTGGCATATCTGCACAGGCCTATTTCTATATCCGTTTTTTTCTGTCACCAACTGTTCCTGTACGCACTATATATACATACTGTATACAGTGCCTTCAGAAACTATTCATACCCCTTGACTTACTACACATTGTGTTGTGTTATAGCCTGAATTCAAGAATGCATTACATTTATGTTTTAATAATAATAATAATATGCCATTTAGCAGACGCTTTAATCCAAAGCGATATACAGTCATGCGTGCATACATTTTTGTGTATGGGTGGTCCCGGGGATCGAACCCACTACCCTGGCGTTACAA